ATGTTCATTTCTCCCACGTGCCTGTAGAAATTCAAGACTTCACAAGGGTAGCTCAACAATGTTGGATGAACCACACAAGGAGCTTCTAAGACACACATCTCCTATATTAGTTCACCAATGATCCTTGACCCAAGGACAATCTGCTCAGGAATGACCCCTGCATACAGAAGTGCACCCTGAGGCTGATGTTCCCAATGATCTTTGCCCAGCTTGTTGTTCTGGAAGACCAAGAGCAGGCATTTGTGGAGGAGAGGTCATGGTAGTGAATCCAGTCGAATTTGGTGTAACATCTGCGGCATGCAACAGACCCCCCAGGAACGAGATCAGACCCTTGAGTGGATGTTAGGCCCACACCCAGAGAGAAAAACAGTGATCAGGATATTTGCATAAGGATGAAAAAGGGTGGATTTGATTACATCAGGTGTTCTGCTTTGAGTAAGTCATTCATTTACTCTGAACTTCCTGACCCTTTATCCAACTCTGTCCTCTTCCACTCAAATTCCACCACTGTCCTGAGTGACTTGAACTTCTCCATGGACATGAGCTCTCACTCAGGCCTTTCAACAACTCATTCTCAATGTCAAGGCTGTTCCTTTCCTCTCTGGGTTTTGTCATTTCTCAGAACTGCTCCACCACCTCAATCTCAAAGTCGGAATCTGCAGCCAGAGCCTTGTTGTCTCACTCTTTTGTCATGAATTACTACATCCAGCTCCTACTTGCCCTTTCTCTGTTCTTTCTCCCTTCTCCTAGATTACCTCTTCCTTGTCCACCTCAGGCACCATGGCCAGTCACATTAGCCCTCCTGTGACCACCACTCTTAATTTCTTTGCTCCATACTCCTTCCTACCCACCATTGATATCACCAACCACATTACGGCTTTTACTCCAGGGCTCCCACAGACTATGTAGGAAGCTCTTTGTGCCAAGGTGACCTGACCCACCACAGGTCTCTGCCCTTTCTGACAGCTCCTTTCTATCAGCATTTAAAACAACAAGGGAAGATAGCCTGCATTCACTTCTGCGTCTTTCCCTCTTTCTTTACACTTCTCACAGCCAAGTATCTGCAAAGAGCAGTCTCCCCAAGCTGCTCCCACTGCCTCAAGCTCTGACCCACCAATGGTGGTGCATCAAAGACCTGCACAGTCCAGCATGATAGCCACTGGCCACACACAGCTACGTAAATGAAAATCATCAAAAATAAGGAGAAACCAGTTTACAGAAACCACATTTCAACTGCTCCACAGCCCCATGTGGCATAGACATGGAGCACTACCACCACTGCAGGAAGGTCTATTGGATGGTGTTGGTCTATGCCATTCCCAAAAACTTGCTCCTCATTCTGGTCCTCCTGCTTTAAGAAATAGTATCTCCCATGTACCACATGATCCAAACCTTTTGTAAGGCGCTGTCACTGTGGATTCCTCCTCCTCAGATGCTCCAGTCTGTACACTTCCATCCAGGGACTAAGCCTTGACACTTTCTCCTCTATCCAAATCTCGCCATCTTGGTAGCCAGCATCCTCAGCATGGTTCTCCATCAGTTCCTCTGTTATACCAGTGGCTTAATATTCAGTTCCCACATTCTCTATGTGGCAGGCAGTGGGCCTTTCTAAAAATGCACAATGGATCTTATCCCCATGTTAAAGTCTATCAACGACTTCATTTGACTTGGGGATAAAGGTCAACCTTGTCAACAGCACAGCAACTCTTTCTGATCGTGTCCTTGACAGCCATCCCCTCCAGCCACAAGAGCTTCCTACAGCCCCCAAACATGCGTCAGCTTTTGTTCACTTCCAGGGTTTTCCTCCTTTAAGTCCCTCCATCTAAAGCACTCTCTCCTTTTTGCTAGCAAGGTAACTCTTCTGCATTCTTCAAGCTTCAGGTTAATATCACATCCTTTCACCCACACTCCTGTTCCCAACCTCAGGCCAGGCGGCTCTCCCACACATCCACCCTACACCTCTACTGACTGCATCTCCAGTCTTATCACACTGAACTGTGATGTCCTCACCATCACCCATTACCCAAGTGGGGCCAAGCACAAAGCTTGACAATGTCTTGAAATCTGATTTCTCGGTTGGCCCTTCATTAACTGTAATGGTGGTTAATCTTATTGGGTGCTGCAGGAAATGGAATTGAGCCCAGTGCAAAGACTTCTCTGATAAGCCACTTCTAATTAAAAGATGAAACTGTGGCATATCCTTCTAGAGCCGTTTTCTAAACTCTGATGTGTGACCCAGTTGGACAATACAATCAATATAGTTGGTCATGACCCACTATTTTAAAAGAATGAAATAGAATAGAAAATATCAGAGCACATCACACATTTTAAGGGTGAATATTTTTCATGAAATCTTTGCTTCAGTTGTATATATGCATATGTATGCACTGGGCCACAATATGAAGTTTATCTCGTGCTGTAGATTATAATCACAGAAGTTGAAAAATACTCATTTAGATAATGTTTGAGCTTTAGAGCAACATACAGTGATCTTAATGGTGTCACATTACACATGCTCTGTAATTTTTCATTTCTGTCTTCAAGTGTCCTATAATTTTCATTAACTTTTCAAAAACAACTTGCAAATTTTTATTATATTTTGTGTTATCAAAATTATTCTGAAGGTTATTTTTTACTCACTATATTGAATCCTCAGCATGTGTTTAGAGGTACAGAGACATCTGTAGTAACCCCATAAGTGGAGGGCTTTTTGATTCTTTGCTCAGCTCCTAAAGGAATTCCCTAAGAGGAATGCTGGGCTCACTTACCTGGGTATGGTCCATGGAGCTCTGAATACATTAGATGCTCAATAAACGTCAGTTTGTTGAGTGAATATGTATGTAGAATAAAAGTAGTGAAAGTCACTCAGTTGTATCTGACTCTTTGCAACCCCATGGACTATACAGTCCATGGAATTCTCCAGGCCAGAATCCCGGAGTGGATAGCCATTTCCTTCTCTGGGGATCTTCCCAACCCAGGGATCAAATCCAGGTTTCCCCACTGCAGGTGGATTCTTTACCAGCTGAGCCACCAGGGAAGCCTGCATGTGGAATGGTTTCACCATTTTCAGAAATAAGGGTCTCCAACCTGCTACTTGCTATTACACATTCATCTGTCCATCCACCAAACCGGGGTGGAATGGGGGGCATCGCCACACATGCATTTTCTATCCTCCCAATGATGAGAGGAAAAAACCCACCATAATCAGTACCCTGTGTAGTCAGCTCTAAAAGCCAATACGAGTTCTAGGAAGGCCTAAAATGTTTTAGTCTGAATTACAGTTGAACTTGTTTGCACTGGGTATTATCATACCTAGAGCATTTCTATTTTCCATGAACCAGAAATAAGACAAAGACGTTGTTTAAGATTCTCCATTTATACCAACGATGTGGGCTGACAGTGATTAAGAAGATTCCCAGGTCTTGTCATGGACATGGCAAAAGAGATCACAACCTTGATTGGAAGTTAACTTGCTACAGGCAGAAATAGGGCAGATGTCAAGTATTTTCCATTCCCCAGGGAGGACCTTATCTTATTAATGGATTTAAGGGTGAATATTTTTCTTTCACATAGCAATTATATAGAATGTAATCTCATTATGAAAGTAATAAACATATATATTTTATCATTCAAATTTTAAAAATGAATTTAGAAACTATCATTTATAGCCTAAATATTCAATTATAGTAGCTGATACCATTTTCTTATCTAGCTTTCCTGTATTTTCCCCTATATATATCCCTGATAGCTCAGTTGGTAAAGAATCTGCCTATGATTCAGGAGACCTGGGTTCGATCCCTGGGTTGGGAAGATCCCCTGGAGAAGGTAAAGGCTACCCAATCCAGTATTCTGGCCTGGAGAATTCCATGGACTGTATAGTCCATGGGATCGCAAACAGCTGGACACGAGTGAGCGACTTTCACTTTTATATATACTTAAAAAATTTGCATATACAATATAGACCTCCTTTTCCCCCCTCCACTTATCATGTACCCTTTCAAAGTTTATCAGTATTTTTCTTTCCAGTTTAAAGGGGTACATAAATTGTACTGAAATTAGAACCCATAATGGATTTAACTAATTCCCTGCTGATGGATGTTTGAATTGTAGCCAATTTTTCACTTTTATGAATATTTTTATACACATCTCTATAGATAGTCTTTGTGCTCATTCAGGTTATATACTATTTGGGATGAGAAATTTTTACTCTGAAGGTATAGGCCATGGTTATCTTCCTTTCCATTTTTATCACTTAATGTCCATTAAGGAAGACCACAGCTTTATTACTCAAGAAGAAGGAACGTCATCCTATCTTGATCTTGGCCGTGACAAAGCGAGTTCATAAAGCAGCAGTGTGGTCCACAGGGAGAAGGTTTATCTGATTGGCGTTTCCAGCTTCTCCTCAGCCGGTCCCAGCACTCCGGGAGAACCATGGGCTATTCCCATCTTAGAAAATGTCAGGTTAGGTTCCTTCTGTCCATACCAAACCATGGAATATAGGCTCTGTAGCATGAAGGTCATATTTGCCCTATCCTAGAAACCCAAGGTAAAGAAACTAAATCAGTTTGGAAAAATTTAAAGGATGCAAAGTTTCCATTTGGGAAGCATTATGAAAATACCTCTCTCCCCCAGCAGGTAGCCCCATAAATGAAGCATTTCACAAGCTGCTCATGGGTTGCTTAATGAGGGTGCCAAATAACATCATCACATTCTTTTTGGTTCCTCACTTTTCCTCCTTGTGCCAATGAAAATTCAGGCACAGTTAATATCAACAAAAATCCTGTGATATCCAGGGAGTATGCAAGTTTAGGTCTAAACCCTGAACAACATTTAACAGACTTTTCTCTTGTTTATCAAAATTAAACTTCATAAGAAAAAAGACAACTCAAGGGATGATTCCAGTGATATGTACTCACCTGGTCATGATTCCACTGATATATGTACTCACCTGGTTATAAGCATCTGATTTACTATTGAGGGGATAAAGAAAGAATACGTACCCAACAAACGGAGGAGGAGAAAAAGAACTCCCAGGGCGTAGGATTTGAGTTCAGGGCTGACTGTCCTACATGCAAAGAGATGAAGAGGAAAAAAGAAAAGATTCTTATCACTCCACTTTAATTAACAGAGCCCAGAGTTGTCTGCTGCTGTCCATCAGAGCCCTTCCTTAGAAAATTATTAATGGTTTTGTTCTTTTGCTTTTTTCACCTTCCCTGCCGAAAGTCTGAAAAATCACTGCAACTGCAGGGACAAGATAAGTTTAGGAATTTAGCAGTGTTTTTTTTATTAATTAAAACTAGTCATTTGAAGGATGGAATGCAAATTTGTTCCCAAAGTCTTCATTTAAAGGCACTTTGCACTTGCTGGCACAGGGAAACATCTTAAGTCGGTGGGTACATGTATCAGAGGAAATATCAGTGGGGAAGGCAGTTCCCCTTATGCTACACAGATAGGCCAGAACCATAAACACATTTGTCATTCTGGCATCACTTTGTGAAATCAACCAGACTAGCATGGGTTGGTTCCCTAGATGGGCCACTTGTGAAACAGCCCATTCATCTATATCCAGCTTTGGTACCTTTTAAACTGGAAAGGTACCTTTATTTGGCCTTCCCAAGTGGTTCAGTGGGAAAGAATCTGCCTGCAGGAGATGTGGGTTTGATCTCTGGGTCAGGAAGACCCCCCCAGGAGGAGGAAATGGCCTGGAGAATCCCATGGACAGAGGAACCTGGTGGTCCACAGTCCTCGGGGTCACAAAGAGTTGGACACGACTGAGCGACTAACACCCACACAGCTTTATACAGTCCCATGCCTTTGTTTTGAACTGACTCAGTGTCCCTGGCTTTGGTTTACCCACAGCAGCCCCTGAGCACGAGCTTTTCACACATTTTCTAGAATGTTCTCACACAGTCTGGTTTAAGAGTAACAGCAGAGGGGGTCTGGGAATGGTGACTGATTCCAGGCAGGGAGGCCGTCCCAGCTTGTCGCAGACCCCCTCTGTTAGGCCTCCTGCTCTTGAAACCAGTACTGACTCAATGCTGGCCTTCTCTCCTTGAGGCCAAGGACTGGGTGTATCTCATTCATCATCAGTGTGGTGTGTGACACCCAGCATATGCTGAGTCAAAAAACAAACCAGAAATCAAGAGGCCGGGGACTTTCCTAGTGGTTTGGTGGTGAGAACCTTCCAATGCAGAAGTTGCAGGATCGACCCCTGGTCGGGGAACTAAGATCCCACAGACCATGGATCGACCGAGCCTGTGCACTCTGGAGCCCAAGCACCACAACTAGAGTCTGTATGCCACAACGAAAGGTCCCTCATGACACCACTAAGACGTGATGCAGCCGAATACATGTTGAAAACACAGAGCCCAGTGCTGGCCCCTGCGTGACTTGTTAAATAAGCCGGTATCCTCACACCTGTGCATCTCCTGAGCGCTGCTGTTGGCAAGTCCGCTTCTGTCTGGAGTAAGAGTGGAAGTGGGCCCACTGCCCTGGGATGGGACAAGGGCTGGTGCCCATAATCCGGGCTGTGGCTCAGACCGTCTGTGCCCTTGTGTCTGCCTAGAACATCTGTGCTGGTCCACTGGTGTGGATGGCAACAGAAGACACTGTTACCCTGGACTCCTCGAAAAGCAAGTGGGCACGTACCTCCAGCTGGCCCCAGCAGCATGGAGCTATGAGGTGCACAAGGCCCGACCTAGGTCATTTAGGCCATCTGTTGCTGGTCCACTGAAAAGGAATCACAGATTTCCTGAAAATCTCCAAGAGCTGTTTATCAAGCTGAGATCTGGACATGATTCAGGTTTCAGCTGACTTTCTGTGTTTGGTCTGCAGCCACAACTGCTGGGCTGGGTTTTTGCAGCAGAGTCAAGGGCAGAGAAAAAAAGGGGACTGCTCATTGCTAAAGGCTGTGAAGGTCATTTTTCTTGCTTTTCGGTGCCTTTTGTGTGTCAACGGGTACAATACAGCTTCATGGGAATTCCTAGGAACAAAAATAATGCAGCCACCCTAAACCCATGCCTGAGATCTGATGGGTTTTGTCCAGTGCATATTATATATAATCATCCTCCACATATAATTTAAATTCAATAGTTCATTTCATAAACACTTCTCACATTCTTAAGAATTTTCATTATTCCACTGAGCTGTGGGACTATAATTTAACTCACTATTCCAATTCAGATTTTTCTGCTATTATAGTTAACACTATAATAAAAATCTGTCTGCATTGAGCTTTTCTTCTCACAGAATATTTTCTTAACATAAGTGGCAAGGCATAGGGTTACCCCATTGAAAAAAAAAAAAACCCTGAACATTTTTATGGCTCTTGAACTCATATTTGCCACCTTGCTTTTATGAAAGGATTAATACGTTTCTCAATGCCACCAGAAATGTGTGACTTTACCTGTTTTGTTAGAGCCTTGCTTACAAAACTGGGAGTGAATTTTTAAACATTTTTTCCAAATTTAACAAGTATAAAATGGCAATTTGCAATTGCACCATTAATGCTCCTGCACATTGAAAAAGCTTTGCTAATGACTTTATAACATAAGTACTTTGTATAAATCCTTTTCCTTGTGAATTATAACCAAGATCAGGAAATGTAGTAGACAGAGAGAGGCTGGATAAAGCAGCTGATGTTACATACCAGGGCTTCCCTGGTGACTCAGTGGTAAAGAATCTGCCTGCCAATGCAGGAGATATGGGTTCAGTCCCTTGGTCAGGAAGATCTCCCAGAGAAGGAAATGGCAACCTACTCTGGGATTCCTGCCTGGGAAATCCCATGGACAGAGAAGCCTGATGTGCTACAGTCCCTGGGGTCACAAAAGAGTTGAACACTTAGCGACTTAAACAACAACAAAATGTACATTTGCACAGTCTGTATCCAAGCATTTCATTCCTACTTTTATCTCCAGCCCTTGGGATTGAATTGGTTTGTTTAGATAACTGCATCCTGGTAAGATGGATCTGTGCTTGGCACCACTTCCTCTGTTAAAGATGGTTGCAGACATGAAGCCTGACTCTTCTGGGTTCCTCACACAAATCTAGATAACTTTGTAACTGTGTAAGTTACTCAGAAAATTACCCAATAATTCACCTTAGAGACACCTCACCCACCCCCCCAGGATAGTTCTTGAGAGATGGGGAAACAGAGATTAAGGGTGACTCTCTCCAACCATCCGTCTGTTCAAAAGCAGTCACGGCTTGCTTCCATGAGCCACTCAGCAGTGCATCACACCTTGTCAATGACCTGTTATATCTTTATGAGTTTGCACACACATGGTCTCAGCGGGACCCAGCCCACTGCAGGAGGCAGGCAGGACCACTGACATCACCTCCAGTTCCAGATTCAGAAACCACTGAGCCCAAGGTCATACTACAAATCAGTGCCCTGAGACAGGAGCCAGACACGGGGACTCGGCTATTCCCATGCCATTTTCATTTCACTCCAACAGTGTTGCTCTTTGCAAATGTCAATAGGAGACCGCAGTACCTTTCAAAATTACCTGCAGAGTCTGTTTCTGGTAGGACATGAAAGTGCAGTGTTTTCTCTTGGGCTGTGCTTTCTACTTCTGGAGTGAAAGTTGAAAGTGTTAGTCGCTCAGTCATGTCTGAGTCTTTGCAACCCCACAGACTGTAGCCCTCCAGACTCCTCTGTCCATGGGGATTCTCCAGGCAAGAATACTGGAGTGGGTTGCCATTTGCTTCTCCAGGGGCTCTTCCCAACCCAGGGATTGAATCCAGGTCTCCTGTCTGAGCCACCAGGGGAGCCTCACTTTTGCTGCGAGGTTTCCATCAAACATAACTGATTCCTACCAGCCTAGGGAAGCTGGCCTGCGAGACTCATACAGTCCCCAGAGTTCTGATTTCTGGGAGAACTGCGGACACACAGCAGGGAGGGAGGCGGCGTGGGGCGGCTGGTTCCCCGGTCCCTGGGGCTATGCTTACCTGATGAGGATGATGACGGAAGGTGTCTGAGCCATGGCCCCGATCATGCTACAGACACACATCACACACAGGAAGGTAAGGAAGGCCTCTTGACACCCGGGACTGGGGCATTTTCCAGGAATCACGGTCGCGTTCTCAGGTGGGACGGTCATGAGGCATGCACAGCCAGTGAGATTCTGAAAGGGAAGCAGTCAGCCCTGTTAACTGGGGCTATCTCCCCTCTCCAGATCTAAAGCCATCTATCAGCTGGTCTGTCACAGCCTGATTATGCATTCTGGAGCATTTCAATAATTAGGCCTGAATCAACGAGTTGGCTTTTTTGAAGGAGGCTGCAAAACACATGCAAAATAAAGGAATATTTATGGGGAGGAGAGCTGATTTCCCTGTCTCCTGTGTATTTCATTTCTATGCCCCAGAATTCCTTGATAAGCCCACACCGTAGACAAATGTGTTGCCCCCCCGATACGATTAGAGAGGAAATCGTGCTTCCACAATGTGATAAAACACTGCCAAATTAACAATGTAATCACTTGCCAATTTGTCCTCTCTTTTGTGCAGTTATAATTACACTGAAGTGTATTAAAAGAAGTAAATCAGGTAACTTGCATATGGTTGCTGGTTCATTGCCCACTATGGCACCTGGAACAAAGGATGTGCACTGTCATGCGTGAAGTTGCTGGGCTCATGGGGCCGGGAGAGGGGGCTGGCTAATGGGAGGCTTCTCGAAAGGCTGAGAAAGCAAAGAGGGTGCAGAGATGGGGGGGAGCTTAGAGCGGATCATGGGGAGTGAGCTGGAGACCAGCGAGATACATTTATTAATATATGATCAGAGAGGAGAAAGCCAAGCGGCTGCATTCCATTTGATCTTCGGGTGGATTCTTGCCCAGCTGCCCCGGCTCCCCAGCACGGTCCTGGCTCACGCTCCAGAGGAATTTCTGATGGCGAAGAGAGGAGCAAGGGCGCGGGGAGAGGCAGCGCCAGCCGGCAGCCAAGCCAATTAAGGCTCGATAATAATAGTGCAGAGGTCTTTAATGAATACAAAACGAAAACAATCATAAATGATTCATTGCTTTTCTTTCCAGGGCTGCTTGGCTCTCAGAGCACATGCTGAGGTAAATCCTCCTGAGGGTCAAACAAATCCTCTTTGGTTTTTATGTGCCCCCTCCGCAGCCCGTATCCCATCCGTGTACCTCTCCTCCTCCCTCTCCTTTTCTTTCCCCGCCAGACTTAGCAGATTGGGGTTTTTCTTATTCCATCAAGCGAGGTGGGATGTTTTCAGCAGTGTTCAGTGTCTGCTCCCTCCATCCTGCATGACTGTGCCCCACAAGAAGCTTTTACTCCTGGGAAGTAGGGGGAGACACAGGGTGGGGCTGGACCCCTCTTCCTAAGCCACCTGCCCACAGCAGGTGCTTTTGTATAAATGGCCCCATTACAGCACCCAGGGGCATCTCCCGTTGTTCTGTGAAAGGTGCTGAAGCTCAGCCCCTCTGTCTCTTTGCATACATCTCTGCCCAGAGAAATCACAGATCTTCTTCAAAACTGAATGCTGACATTTCATTTGGCTGCAAGGCCTCCCCAGTCGCCCCCATCTGAGCTGGCACTTCCCTCCATGGGGACACACTCCTCACCCCGTGGCAGAGACCCCTGCTACCCTTCTGGAGGAGACCTGAAGCTCCTGGGATAAGAACGTGTCATTTCTGTGATCTATCAAGCACTGTCTTATAACACAGGGCTGAGACGCAGCAGAGGAAACTCAGCAGGTGGTTTTAGGACGCGAATGGGAACAGATCTTCCTCTACTTTTATCAAGAAATAGGGCTTCTCCCTGAAAGAGCCAATTCACTGAAAGCATCCCTGATGCTGGGAAAGATTGAGGGCAGGAGGAGGAGGAGGTGACAGAGGATGAGATGGTTGGATGGCATCACCAACTCAATGGACATGAGTTTGAGCAAACTCCGGGAAATACAGAAGGACAGGGATGCTTTGCATGCTACAGTCCATGGGGTTGCAAAGAGTTGGACATGATTTAGTGACTGAACAACAAACAAGGGCTTCTCCCCAACTTGAATTGAAAATGCCACTTGTCTCCCGTCTGAGGAGAGGAAACTGATCCTTCCTCTCCCCACACCCTGAACGCTGAAGCTAAACATTTCCGGCTGTTCATGATCACTACTTCCATGCTCTTGACTCACTCCAGCTGGCTTAGGTTCCTACAAGCAGCGATCAGATCAGCTAAGCTCGCCAGTGACCTCCACAGTTGACCCCTCCATCCACTTTTGTCTCCCTGGGGCCCCTTGAGTGTGTGCCTGCAACCCACTGCCTTTGTGGCTTCCACGGCTCACTCTCTGGCTTCCTTCTTCCCTTTTGCATTTTCCTTACTGGCACCTGCCCCATCTCCTACTTGAATATGCCAGAGCTCCTTGGGGCTCTGGCCCAGGCTCTCTTCCCTTCTCGCCCTGCACTTTTCCCTAGATTGTGTTACATCCATGTGCTTTCTGATGGAGCTTTTCCCAGGTGGTGCTAGTGATAAAGAACCTGTCTGCCACTGCAGAAGATATAAGAGACATGGGTTCGATCCCTGGGTCTGGAAGATCCCTTGGAGGAGGGCACAGCAACCCACTCCAGTGTTCTTGCCTGGAGAATCCCGTCGACAGAGGAGCCTGGAGGGCGACAGTCCATGGGGTCACGTGGAGTTGGACATGACTGAGTGACTCAGCATGTATGCACATGCTTTCTGATGACTCTCGTAAATTTCATCTCTAACTCACACCCATCCCAGACCCATCCGGGATGCCCCTTCCTAAGCCTCCGAATGTGCTGAGACATCAACACCAGCTCCAGGATGACCGCCCTGTACAAGATTCTGCACTGGCATCTTGGCATGACTCTACTGTCCAGGGCGGGGATCCATCTCCTTAGGATTCCCTTCCCTGCATGGATGAGAGCTGGACCAGAGGAAACACAGGAGAGATTTGTAAGTGAGGCAGGGGCTGTTACTCTCAGATGGTCAGACATCGGGACAGACAAACGCAGAGGTGCCCAGAAGGAGCCGGTTGGCCCTACCATCCCTGTGCACCCACCTTCTTTTCTGACCACCCTGCTGACAACAGAGGCCCTGTGCCCGCCTCTACTGATGTGGATGCAGTCTTGCTGATGTCCCTGACTGCCCCTTCATCTCACTGAGCAGCCCACTGAGCACAGCTTCTGGGGAATTTCCCATAAGCCTCAACCTGCCCATCTGAGCTGATACTTCTGGGGGTGTGGTGACTTTCCTCCAGTCCTTCATCTCACTTCTTCCAGATCTCAATTCCCCAACTCCACCATGCTCCCATAAGATCTATTTCCTATATTAAACCTATACTAACCTATACTATACTAAATCTATTTCCTAAACTAAACTTTGGAAGTCTACTTCCAAAGGACTTGTGGGTGCTGTTTTCCTGACCAAACCCTGACAGATATATACACTCCCAGCCCCCATCTCCTTTCCCTCCACATCTCTTACCTTAGAAATGACAAACTCTGCAGAAACACGATGGTAAATTCTCAACCTCCCCCGTACTCCTATGTCAAACCCTTCTCATGACCATAAGGCTAATAAGGACAGAGACCACTGTGGTTTTGATTCCTGACTTATCCTTAGCTCCAGAGGACAGTACTGAATGAATGAATCAATGAATGAATGAATGAACCCTCAAAGTCTGTTCATTTTACCATATCCTAAACGATCAGACCACCTGACCTGCCTCCTGAGAAACCTGTATGCAGGTCAGGAGGCAACAGTTAGAACTGGACATGGAACAACAGACTGGTTTCAAATAGGAAAGGAGTACGTCAAGGCTGTATATTGTCACCTTGCTTATTTAACTTGTATGCATAGTCCATCATGAGAAACACTGGGCTGGATGAAGCACAAGCTGGAACAAGATTTCTAGGAGAAATATCAATAACCTCAGATATGCAGATGACACCACCCTTATGGCAGAAAGTGAAGAAGAACTAAAGAGCCTCTTGATGAAGGTGAAAGAAGAGAGTAAAAAAGTTGGCTTAAAGCACAACATTCAGAAAACTAAGATCATGGCATCCGGTCCCATCACTTCATGGCAAATAGATGGGGAAACAGTGGAAACAGTGGCTGACTTTATTTTTGGGGGCTCCAAAATCACTGCAGATGGTGATTGCAGCCATGAAATTAAAAGACGCTTACTCCTTGGAAGGAAAGTTATGACCAACCTAGACAGCATATTAAAAAGCAGAGACATTACTTTGCCAACAAAGGTCCGTCTAGTCAAGGCTATGGTTTTTCCAGTAGTCATGTATGGATGTGAGAGTTGGACTATAAAGAAAACTGAGCGCCAAAGAATTGATGCTTTTGAACTGTGGTGTTGGAGAAGACTCTTGAGAATCCCTTGGACTGCAAGGAGATCCAACCAGGCCATCCTAAAGGAGATCAGTCCTGGGTGTTCATTGGAAGGACTGATGCTGAAGCTGAAACTCCAATACTTTGGCCACCTGATGCAAAGAGCTGACTCATTTGAAAAGACCCTGATGCTGGGAAAGATTGAGGGCAGGAAGAGAAGGGGACAACAGAGGATGAGATAGCTGGATGGCATCACCGACTCAATTGACATGAGTTTGAGTAAACTCCAGGAGTTGGTGAGGGACAGGGAGGCCTGGTGTGCTGCGATTCATGGGGTCGCAAAGAGTCGGACACGACTGAGCGACTGAACTGAACTGAACTGAAATGACTAAACGACAAAGACAAAATCTCTCTCAACCCTGCCCTAGTTCAAACCACCCCCGTCCCTCTCTCTTTGGTCCCTCCTGTAGCCTATGAGGAAAAAGAGATTTGGGGCTGCGGTCCTGAGAACCACGTGGACTCAGAGAGTGCTCAGGTATGAACAGGAAACAGGCCCAGCCATGAGGGGCTGGCTTAGAACTCAGACCTTGGGAACCAAGTTCTGACTCTCATAGCCTTTAGGACTGTGATATGATCAGTACCCTTTGAATGAATTGTGTGAGCTCTGTTTAGTTTAATGAATACTTTGTAATTGAAACCTACACCCAGTCTTAGATTTCTGCTCTGTACCTAGGCTATGGCTGAACTATATTCCATCTACCATAAGAGGAAATTTCCTGGACCTCCTCTGCTCTGAGATGTGAAAATCCCCTTCTGA